TCCTCCTGGGTTTCCAGATCCTGTGCCAGAGAATGACTCTGAGGGACCGCCCTGCTCTCTAATACGATTAAGGGATGAAGTCTCTGAGGGAGTGGCGGTGAAGACAATCCCTGGAATACTGATCAGGGTTTCCCTTTGACCCCACAGCAGCCTGGGGCACCAAGCCATTTCCTCTCGGGCCTGGTTCTCTGCTTCACACTCAGGTGTGTGGGGGTCGGACTCCAGGTCCTCTGAGTCCCTTGGCCTCTACACAGGACAGGACCAGCAGTCTCTCCTCCTCCGCTGAGAGTAGAACTTTCCAAGGAATAGATTATCCCAGGTGCCTGTGTCCAGGCTGGTGTCTGGGTTCTGTACCCCCTTCACCACACCAGGTGTCCTCTTCATTCTCAGGATGATCACATGAGTGCTGCTGGAGTGTCCCATGAGGAATGCAAAGTGCCTGAATTTTCTGACTCTTCCCTTCAGATGCCCCCAAGACACATGTGACCCACCACCCCGTGTCTGACCATGAGGCCACCCTGAGGTGCTGGACCCTGGCCTTCTACCCTGCAGAGATCACACTGACTTGACAGCGGCGAGATGGGGAGGACCAGACCCAGGACATGGAGCTCGTAGAAACCAGGCCTGCAGGGGATGGAAACTTCCAGAAGTGGGCGGTTGTGGTGGTGTCTTCTGGAGAAGAGCAGAGATACACCTGCCATCTGCAGACCGAGGGGCTGCCCGAGCCCCTCACCCTGAACTGGGGTAAGGAGGAAGATGGGGGTATCATGTCTCTTAGGGAAAGCAGGAGCCTCTGGAGCCTTTCAGCGGGGTCAGGGCTGGGGCCTGGGCATCAGGGCCAGTCACCTTCCCCCCTTTTCCCAGAGCCGTCTTCCCAGCCCACCATCCCCATCGTGGGCATCGTTGCTGGCCTGGCTGTCCTTGGAGCTGTGATCACTGGAGCTGTGGTCGCTGCTGTGATATGGAGGAAGAAGAGCTCAGGTGAGGAAGGGGTTAGGAGTGGGGTCTGAGATTTATTGTCCCACTGAGAATTCCAAGCCCCAGGTAGAAGAGTGTGTTTCCTGGTTACTGGAAGCACCATCCACACTCATGAGCCTACCCAGCCTGGGCCCTGTGTGCCAGCATTTACTCTTTTGTAAAGCACCTATGACAATGAAGGACAGATTTATCTCCTTGATTACTGTGGTGATGGGGACCTGATCCCAGCAGTCACAGTCACAGGGGAACATCCCTGCTGAGGACAGTTCTTAGTAGAGCAGTTGGTCCAGGACCCACAGCTGCTTTCCTTGTTTTTCCTCATACTGCCCTGGTCTGCAGTCACACATTTCTGGAAACTTCTCTGGGGTCCAAGACTAGAAGGTTCCTCTAGGACCTCATGGCCCTGCCACCATCCTGGCCTCTCACAGAATATTTTTTTCCCACAGATAGAAAATGAGGGAGCTACTCTCAGGCAGCAAGTAAGTATGAAGGAGGCTGATCCCTGAGATCATTGGGATATTGTGGTCAGGAGCCCGTGGGGGAGCTCACCTAGCCCGCAATTCCTCCTTTAGCGGCATTTCCTGTAGGCTCGGACCAGGTTCTGGTTTTGTTCTATCCCAGGCAATGACAGGGCTCTGATGTGTCTCTCACAACACCTTGTAAACGTGAGACCCTGTGGACCCTGATGTGTGTGGGTATTGGGGAGAACAGTGTACACAGTTGTGCTATGGGGTTTGTTGGAGTGGGATGTATTGAACATGTGATGCGCTCTTTAAAGTGTCACCCCTCACTGTCACTGATACGAATTTGTTCATGAATATTTTTCTATAGTGTGAGACAGCTGCCTTGTGTGGGACTGAGAGGCAAGTTTTGTTCACACCTTTTTTCTTTGTGACTTCAAGAACCCTGGCTTCTCTTACTGCAAAGGCATCTGAATGTGTCTGTGTCTCTATAGGCATAATGTGAGGAGGTGGGGAGACCAGCCCAGCCCCGTGTCCACCATGACCCCCTTCCCCACGCTGACCTGCATTCCTTCCCCGTCACCTTTCCTGTTCCAGAGACTTGGGGCTGGGATGTCTCCATCTCTGTCTCAACTTTACGGTGCACTGAGCTGTAACTTCTTACTTTCCTATTAAAATTAGAATGTGAATGTAATTTACTTCTTGAAATTATTTCCATGAGACATTGATGGGTTAATTAAAGGAAAAGATTCCTGAAATTTGAGAGACTAAATGGAAGATCCAAGAACCTTCCACAGTCCACGTGCTTCTTGTGCTGATTTGTTGCAGGGGAGGCAGTAGATAGGGCTGTGCCCAGTGGGTGCGCAGACCACTGTGGCTTTATGTGGTCACTGCTTGACTGGGTCATCTTTGCTGCTCCATTGTCCTTGATCCTTCAGTAGAACCTTGTCTTACCACGACCTGTGATCACAGGGACTTAGATGTCACCTAGTGTGGTTCCTACACATAGACACCCTTGAGGTATCAAGAGACAAATTTTCAGACCCCTGTACTTCTTGCCCTCCTTCCATGTCTCTTTCCCAGATTGTATTTTCCAAATTTCCCCAATCTTCTTAAAGAAAGCAGATTCAGAAACTTGCAGTGAAGAGGGCTCCCATGGATTTTCATCGTAGGTAACTTTCTGTTGGAACTCTTCTGCTCTCTCTCCTACTCTTCTTCCTGCCTGAGTTGTAGTAATCCTAGTGCTGCCTCCAATCCAAACTCATGGATTTAAAAAGCAGAGTCTTAGATTCACATGTGGTTGGAAAATTGGATCCATAAGCCTAGGGTTATCTTTCCTGAAGAGAAAAATATGGCTGTGTGCTGCAGCGTGCAGGAGGGTTGGTGTGGGAGGAAGGGAGGGAGGGAGGGAGGGCACACACGCAGCCCTGGTGAGAAAAGCTCTGGCAGCACTGATGTCAGTGTGAGATGGTGTTGCTCTGTAGCTGCCACAAAACAGCATTTGGCCTGGGTCTACGTTAGTAAAGATATTGCCTTTAGAATAGGGAGGTGCCCTACAGTGATCATTCATTCAACTGACATTTGTTGTCTGCTAGGTATATCACTGCTTTTGCATTTAGAAAACATTTTAGTAAAAACAAGGATTTTCGACCTTGTGGTGTATGTGTTCTAGATGCAAGCTTATCCAACATGTGGCTCACAGGCTGCATGTGACCCAGGACAGCTTCAAATGTGAAGATGTTTTTGCTTATCTGTGGTGGCAGATATCATAAAAATTATGCACGTACTTTTTTTCATTTTTATGATTATTTTCTGCTGACCAGCTGTCATTAGTGTATTTTATGTGTAGCTCAAGACAATTCTTCTTCTTCCCATGTGGTTCAGGGAAGCCAAAAGACTGGACACCTCTGTAGGCAGATGATAGATACAGTATAAGCAGAGTAAGAGCAGAAAATGCTTGAGTTAGAAGGTGGCAAGTGCTGTGGGGCAGGTGACCCAGATTGTGGGCTGTGGGAACAGGGAGGTGGCTGCTGTGCTGGGTGGTCAGCATGGGCCTCGTGGCAAATGTGACCTTTAAGTGAAGATTTGAGGGATGTGAGGAGCTGTCCCCAAGGATGACTGGGAAAGCTCTTTTCAGGCAGGAACCTTCAGTGCAGATGCACTAGGGCAGGAAAGTGTCTGTGTTCCTGGAAGGAGGAAGAGGCCAGCAGGGCTGGACAGAGAGAAACTGAAATGAGGTCAGAGATGTGGCCACAGCAGGGAGGCCTGGCGGGTGTGGGAAGGGTTTTGACCTTTGCTGTGAATGACATGGGGAATTAGAGGACAGTTTTGAAAAGTGGGACATGGTGGGACTTATACTTTGAAAGCTTCTCTCTGGCTGCTGTGCTGAGAACACAATTGAGAGGTGGGGGACAAGTGAGGCAGTAGGGAAATGCTGGGGAAAGAGAGCAGTATTCCAGGATGGAGATGCTGGTTACCTTGACTGGGGTGTGAGCAGGGGAAATGGTGGGAAGTGATGGGATTCTGGGTGAATTTGAAGATGGGCTTCACAGCACTTGCTAATGGATTGCATCTGTGGTGTGAGAAAGAAGAATCAAGGACACCCGCAGTGTTGACTGAGTGAGTAGAAGGGTGGAGCTGCTGTCCGTGGAGATGGGAGACTCTGGCAGGAGCATACGGAGGAGAGGGCATCGCAGGCATTCAGTGGAGGAGACATCTACGAGGAGTGCGGGTGAGGGGCCCGGATGCCTCTGCAGCTACAGCTTCACCACCCAGTTACCCTCCTGCTTCCACCCCCTGTGTCTCAGAGCCAGAGCACTGATTCTCCGTGGGCTGTCTGCACAGGTAGATGGGAGTCAGGGAAGTTATGATCTGCTGTTGGTTATAATAAGTCACAGATTACTGTGCTTTCTCAGATAATTAAAGTAATAATAAAAGAATTTGTAACTAGAACACTTATTCAGAAGACTACAATAATGCAAATTTTTTATTCATCTAAAGACGGCAATAGAAGAAAATTTGTTGAACAAAAAAGAGATAATATTAGAAGGCAGCAAATGACAATGTACAGACTTAAACCCAATGAGGTCAACAATAACATTAAACATAAAGAACTGATACACTCCAATGACAAGACAAATAGTGCAGAGGGGGAAAAATAAGTCAATATATAAATAACTGTAGGCTGTTTACAAAAGCCATAATTTCAGCAGAAGATACAAAAAAGTTGAAAGGAAAAGGGTAGAAAATAAATACCAGACAAACATTCATGAAAACCACACGGAGATGCCATTTAGAAAAATTACATGATGTGAATCTCCTGAGACATAGACTACATGTAGACAGCTTACCATGTCTTTTTACTTTTTTTAAAGAAACATTGTCTGTTGCCCAGACTGAAATACCTCAATGTAACCTCAAACTTCTGGGCTGAAGCAATTCTCCTGCCTTAACCTTACAAATAGCTAGGACTACAGACATGTGCCAATACACCTGGCTAGAACGTCTCATTTTCTCATTTGATCTGGTGTGGTCAAGGAAGCCATGTCATGCCATGTATATGACTTACAGTAGGTGCACAACAAATATCAGAGGAATGAAGAAATAAAACCACTTAGTAATTCAAGCCATATCCACATGTACATTTTACAGATGAGGAACAACATTTCAAACAAATAACATATAATAAATTGATTTCCATCATCCATAGCAGAATCGAGAACGCATTCCCTGGGCGAAAGGAATCAGAGCTCTACTAGGGGTCATAGCAGGTACCACGCAAGTCAGATATGCTAGTTACTAGAACTGGAATTGATACATTTCAAGATATACTAAACAAAGAGTTTGGAAGAATTAACTGAATGCAGACATAAAGGAAGAAAATGCATTTGTTTAAAAGATGGATAGAATCTTTAAAGAAACAACTATTTTTAAAGTGGCCTTATGTGGACCAAAGCAGAGATGAGCTCAAGTGTCAGGTGGGAAAATGCCTGAGGAACGGCAGCTGCTAGACACAAGGGAGACCTCAAAATCCTGGGACATTTTCAGTTGTCATATGGGCATTGGTGGGAGAGAGGGAGTGGGGTGCTGCTGGTAAACCTCCCGCAATGCACGGGACAGCCCACTCCACAAGGACTCTTTGTCCCAAATGGTTAACAGTGCTGCTGCTGAGAAACCCGAGCCAGAAGTAAGTGCTGTAATGTCCTCACCGTTTCACAGATTTTGAAACTGAGGCACCAGGAGGAAAAGTGTCAGTAGGACCAGAGCTGCAGGTTGAATCCAGGCGGCCTGGCTGCAAAGTCTTGTCTTCCTGGTCAAGTCAAGGATCCAGTACCACAGACAACCCCGGCTGCACGGTGCTTTCATGGTCTGTGGACGCCCCCTGGTGTTGACACTAGGCCTGTGGCTAAATGAGCCTTGTGGGAAAAGGCAAAACCAGCTTTGGGTAGGGAGATACACCTTCAGGCCCTCCATATTTCAAGCCATGACTTACGCTCAGAAAAAATAATGTCTGCCCTAATTATCTCTCCAATCCTGCTTTCCCAGTCCTGGCCAGTGTCCTCCCTCGACTCCATTAACATCAGTACCTGCCAGACGCCCACCACCCACCACGTGAAGAGTGAAAAGGCCCCAGGACTAAAGGACAAGACTAGGTTCCATCCCAGCCATCCCTCCCATCCCAGAGCTCTAGTTCCGTGCCTGTAGTGCTTAGGCTGTTAACCTGGAGCCCAGGAACCCATGCTCCCATGACACTGCATGCAGAAGTGATGTTATGTGCACACGTGACTTCCTCACAGGACATTGAATAGTAATATTAACCAGATCAGGAGGGGAACAAGACACAATTCTTCCCCCAACATCTTCTGATCCTCTGAATTAAAGAAAGGTAGAGATCCAGGGAGGCCCTAGCTCCAAATCTTGTACCACTCCTAGTGACGTTCTGAAAAGAAGAGCAAGGTATTCACCCTGCTCTGGGGATACAGCAGAAAAGCAGAGTATTCATGGATTTCAAATTCCATTAAAGAAATATCATTTTTGCAAAATATCCAAGTCGCTTCTCTAAGCCCCATCCAGGAGCTCTAACAAACAACATCAGAAAAACAAAAGTCGGGCCCAGGTGCAACCATTGAAGCTATACAACTTTGTGAGAACTTCAGTTAGAAAGAAGGACAGTGCAATTTAGGGCTGCAGCAGAAAACCTCTACATCATATAGCGTTTTTCTCTTCATCATAAAGTTCCCCTGAAGGGACCTGCTTTCTTCAGCAATGCAGAGTGGGGCATTTCTGTGTAAAACAATACAATCTCCTTGGATTCCTTGATGTTGACATTTATTACTCACTGTCCGACTTTGTAGATGCCAACTTCACATTCAACATCTTTCAGTTAATTTTCTTACTCTGTCTAAGCAGAGAATTTGAAATTGTTTCTGAAGCAGAAAACCAGGGACTGGTTATGTGAGCTCTCACCCCGCCCTGTGGCTCTCTTATGCAATAAGCATAGAAATGGTGGGCCAACAGAATGTGTAGCAAGGTAAACATAAATCCTCCATTTCGACCTATGTTTGGCTTTTCTAGTGATGTTCTAGTCTTGCTGCAGTCTCAGCATTTCAATATTTATAATTTTACTTGAATTTTATTTTATAGGAAGTCATATACATTTATTTCTGCTGGGTTGTCAGTGAAAACCTTCTCGAAACAACTCTAGAGGAAAGACAGGTAAATAAATGCATGGTACTCCCATGTATTAGTGCTCAGTGCATCTTACAAATGGATCAGCCCCACTGCAACACATGGTGTTTTAAAAAATGGTGCTGGAAACCTGGATAGCCACATGCAAAAAATGATACTAGAGAAATTCTTGCCCTTCTATTACACCCTATACAAAAATTACGTCACAATGGCTTAAAGAACTAACCTTAAGAGTTAAACCTGTAAAACTCTTAAAAGAAAATGCTGAGGAAATCTTAGGGACATTAGAATTGGTAGTTGTTTCTTGGCAGGTAACAGGATAATAAAAGAAAAATGGCAAATTAGACTCTATCAAAATATAAAAACTTTTTTGCATCAAATGACACTATTAAGAGAGTGAAAAGAAAATGCACAGAATAGGAGGAAAATTTGCCAATCACGTATGTGATAAAGAATTAATATCCAGACTATGTAAAGAACTACAACTTAACAATAGCAAAGCAATCACATTCAAAAATTGGTAAAATGCATGAATACACAATTATCCAGAGAAGATACATGATAAGGACATAAAAAAAAGGAATTCCAAGAGGGGCATAACAAAATGCTCAGCTTCACTAGTCCAAGTACCGGAGAGGATGTGGAGAAAACGGAACATTTGTGCACTGCTGTTGAGAGTGAGCAATGGTGCAGCCACCACAGAAACAGTGTGATGCTTCCTCAAGAAAGTAAAAATAGAATTTCCATATGACCCAACAATTCCATTTTTTGGCATATACCCTCAAAAATTTAAAGTAGGTATGTACACAGGTAATTGTACACTCATGCTCATAGCAGGACTGTTCCCAATACCCAAACGGTGGATGCAACACAAGTGTCCGTCAGAGGATGACTAGCTAAACAACCCATGGTGCACATGCGCATGGAATATTATTTGGCCTTAAAAGTAAATAATATTTGGATTGGATGGAACCTTCAAAACACTCTAAGTGAAATAAGTCAGAAAAAGACAAATATGATTTTTCACTTGTATGAGGCAGCTAGAATAAGCAAATTCATAGAAACAGAAAGTAGAGTACAGGTTACCAGGGGCTGAGGGTAGGAACAATGGGCAGCTGTCATTTAACGGGTACAGTTTCTGTTGGGATGATGAAAATGCTCTGGAAATGCATATTGGTGTTTTTGTAACCACCACCAATTGTAAATGTACTTAATGCCAATGAATTGTACACTGAAAAAAATTGTTAGAAGGTAAATTGTGTGGTATGTATGTTTTGTCACAATTTAAAAAATATATATCAACACTAAATCCAATCACTTCTTACTCCTCTGCCGCTTCCACACCAAAACCATCCTCTCTAGGATAGTCAACTGGAAGGGGCTTTCAGCTAGGCTGCCTAGTGCCTCTCATGCCCATGGCCCAATGCTGATACAACAGACTAGTGTGCCTTTCAAATGAGAATTAGAGCATATCCTATGAACACTCCAGCTCCTTCCCTTCTTGGGCACAATGAAACCCCAGTTTCCCACCATTTCCTATGAGCTCCTTATCACAGGGCCCCCTATGGCCACTTTGGCCTCATACCATCACTCTCAGCCCAGTTCACTCGATTCCACTCACACCAGCCTCTTGTCTGCTCTGTCCTGTCTCTGCCACCTGCCCCTGCTGAGACTCCCACATGTACCTGCTCCCTAGGGATCCACATGGCTCACTCCTCACACCACTAATGTCTCTTTTCAAATGTCACGTGGTCAAGTTTTAGGAAAGGTCTTGTCCAGTGATCTCTGAAATCTATCCCCTTCCATTTCCACCTCTACTACCAGTCTTCCATCCTAGGCATATTTTCCTCAATGGCAATTATCAATGATACTATGACAGATTTTATTTGTTTATTGTCTGTTCCTTATTAGGATTACCAAGAAAGAAAGAACCAAGAGCATCTATAGATGATAGAAAGATAAATGATTGCCAGATAGATAGATAGATAGATAGATAGTTAGATAGGGGATTTATGGGGCTAATTAGCTCACACAATTACAGAAGCTGAGAAGTCGCACAACAGACTGTCTGCAAGCTGGAGAACTAGAAAATCCAATAGTGGGGCTCAGTCCAAGATCAAAGGCCCAAGGACCCAGAAGAGGGAGCAGGAGGATAAAGGGTCACACTGGTTCAAGACTCAGAATCCAAAGACCGTCGAACCCGTAATTTTGATGTCCAAGGCAGGAGAAGAAGGGTGTCCCAGCCTCAGCTCCAGAGACTAACAGAGAGAGAGAGACAGAGACAGAGACAAAGACAGAGGCAGAGATAAATTTGCCTTCTATCTGCCTTTCTGTTCTATCTGGGCCCCGATGTGATTGGACTGCAGCTGCCCACAGTGAGGGAGGATCTTCTTCACTAGGTCCACCCACTCACATGCCAATCATTTCCAGAAACACCCTCACAGACACAAGTTTAATACTTACCATTTGAATAGTATATAATTTATTTTTTTGAGACAGGGGCTCACTGGCTGGAGTGCAGGGGTGTTCAAGGCTCAATGCAGCCTGAATCTTCCAGGCTTAAGCAACTCTTCCACCTCAGCCAACTGAGTAACTGGGACTACAGGCATGCACTACCAAGCCTGGCTAATCCTTTTGTATTTTTTGTAGAAATAGAGTTTCTCCATGTTGCCCAGCCTGGCCTAAAACTCATGGGCTCAAGCAAGCTGCCTACCTCAGTCTCCCAAAATGCTGAGAGTGTAGGCATGAGCCACCATGCCCAACCTGAGTAGTCTATGAATTTTTAAAATCACAACCATAGGAGAATCTTTACATACAAACATGGTTGTCAAAATATTACTTATCAAAAGACAAAATGAAAGCAGATGGAGGTAAAAAAACAGGAACACTGGCCACATCTCCTTGTTGGAAATGGTATGCAGCTTGTAAATCTCGTAAACTCTATGCAGACTTTATGACATGGAAAACTACATGCATAATAATACTTTCAAAAAGCAACATTCAAAATAAACCACAACCACTCTGGGAGGCCAACATGGGTGGATCACTTGAGGTCAGGTGTTCAAGATCAGCCTGGCCAGCAAGTGAAACCCTATCTCTACTTAAAACACAGAATTAACCAGGCTTGGTAGCTCATATCTTGTCCCAGCTACTCGAAAGGGTAAGGCAGGAGAAACAATTGAACCCGGGATCCAGAGGTTGCAGTGAGCCAAGATCATGCCACTTCACTCCAGCACAGCAGACAGGAGCAAGACTCTATCAAATAAAAGATAACCCACAACTTATGAATGCAACTTTGTACAATGAAAGCATATATAAAATGTATATGTATATAGAAAAAAACAGAATGGAAATCAGCACCACTGCAAAAGACAGCTCCAGGGACCACCATTCACACTGCATTCCAGGAAGGTTTAATAATATAATAGCAGTGGTTCTTTTGAGGGGAGGCCTGGATGATATTTCTCTCTTCTCTGCATTTTATTTTCTTTAAAATTCAACCAGGCATTCATCTGTGCATTTTAAAGTCTTCTGTAATCAAATATATTTTCACATTTCTAGTGTAGAAACATATATTTTAACGTTCAAAATAAAACATTTGAAGTAAAATAACAATGAAAAGTCGCTGAACGCTGTGGCCAGCACCTGGAGTCCCAGCTACTCAGGAGGCTGAGGTGGGAGAATTGTTTGAGCTCAGGAGTTTGAGGCTATAATCACACCTGTGAATAGTGACTGCTCTCTAGCCTGGCAACATAGTGAGATCTCATCTTTAAAATAATAATAATAAAAAGATTTCAGATCTCCTGTCAATCTCAGCCTAAAACATATTTCTCATTGGAATTCCACATGGCAGAAATGCCTACTGATGGCTCTTTCAGAGAGTAAAAAAATATTTTTCCTCTAAAATCCGTGACTCATCCTTCTATTACAGTGTTCACCTGAGCAATGAAGTCAACACTAAAAATACCATCAGTTTATGGAATACTAATTATCTAATTCATAGATACATAGATTATAATTATGTACATTTACATTATATATATATATATATATATATGTGTGTGTGTGTATATATATAATTACCAGCACACCTGAGAGAGTGGGATTCTTCCCTTCCACAGTTGAAAATCTGAGTCCCTGAGAACCTAGGGGTTTCGTCTGGGTTCACTAAAAATGTTGGCCTTGAGAATTAAGACACACTCAGCTTCCTCTAGGCTCACCTGGGTTTCAGTCACACCAGTGGAGGCCCCACACCAGCAAGAGAGCAACTGAAAACCCTGGAAGCTTCACACTTGTAATGGTCCATGTCCAGTGGAATGCAGCTGAAGGAGGGGCCAAGGTAAGAATACAGTTCCTTCCTTCAGTTGGCGGTGGCAGATGAGTGAATCAGTCAGCTACACATGAGCTGTGTGGTGTTCCTAGAGATATCTTTAATTACTCTGCTGAGAACTCCACCCCACACGTATGAAAACTGTGTACTTATTGGCAAGCAGGATCCTCTTTAGGGAAGCAAAGCACTTTCCTAAGGCCAAACATTTTCTCTCCAAATGAGTTATTCTCATTGGATAATCTCTTACTCCCACTGAAATTAGCCCCAGAGTTGCATTTGAGCATTTGGATCCAAGACAGAAAGTCACTTTTGCGGCTGGGCCCGGCTGATCTTGGACAATGTCCTGAAAGAAGGCTTTCTACTGTAGAAGAACCAGGGTGAACTCTGGGTAGGAGATGACGTACTTAGAAGAAAAGACAGGCAGATTCTCAAACTCAGGACTTTACCATAAAAAAGACTTTGGAATATATTCCTCAGCCTCTTTTTTATTGTGATAAAATGTACATGACCACAAAAGTGTACATGAACACATGAACACTGTAACCATTTTAAATGTACATTGCAGTGACAATTAGTAGGTTCAAAATGTTATATAACCATCATCACTCCCCAGTTCCAGAATGTTTTTGTCACCTCAGGGGAAACGCTGCACCTATTAATCAATCACCCTCCATTTCCACCTGCCACCTGACCCTGTCACCACAAATCCACTTTCTTTCTCTATAGATTTGCTTCTTCTAAATATTTCGTAAAAATGGGTTAATAATTTATGTAGCCTTCTATACCTGGCTTCCTTCACTTATCATGTTTTCAAGATTCAGTAATGTTTTATCATGTGCCACTGCTTTATTATTTTTATGGCCAAATAATATTTTATTGTAGAAATAAACTATATGTTGTTTCTCCATTCATCAGTCGATGGACATTTTCTTTTAAATCAAATAGGAAAAACAAGAGAAGAATTAAACACACACACACACACACACACACACAGAGAGAGAGACACACACACATTGTAGGGTTGAGACAATCTCCCTCAGCTTTTTTTAACCTGTGAATGTCTTAATTTCTCCATTATTTCTGAAGGAGAGTGTTGCAGACATACAATTCTTGGCTGTCAGTCCTTTTACTTTCTTAACTTTAAATTTGTGATCCCAGTGCCTCCTGAGTCCCATGGTTTCTGACATAAACTTGCATGTTAATCTTATTGAGGATCCATTGTACCTGAAAAGTTCCTTCTCTGTTATTGCTTTCAACAAAGTCTGTTTGTTGTTGATGTTTGACTGGTTAATTATCATGTCTCTCAGTGTCGACGTTTAGAAATTTTCACTGCTTAAAATTTATCAAGTGTGTTGGTTGTACAGATTCATATTGTTCATCAAATTTGGGAGGTTTGGAGTTATTATTCCTCTGAAAAGCCATTCTTCTTTTGCTCCCTCCCTGCTTTCTTTGAAGACTCCCAAAGTGTATGTGCTTGGTGTCTCACAGATTTAAGTTCTATTCATTCTTCTCCATCATTTCATTCTTTCTGCACCTCAAACTGGATGATTTCAATTGTCTTATCTTTAACCTTGCTGACTCTTCATTCTGCATAGTGAAAGTTGCTTTTGATCTCCTTCAAATTCCTCTAGTGACTTTTTCATTTCAGTTATTGCACTTTTCAGCTTCAAAATTTCTACTTGGTCTCTTTTTAAACTTTCTGTCTTTTTATTGATGCTCTCTATTTGAGTTAACATAGTTCTTCTGATTTCCTTTAGATTTTTTGCCCATGGTTTTCTTTAGTTCTATGAACATAGTTAAGACTGTTGATTTAAAGTGATTTTCAGTAAGTATGTTCAATGGCTTTTCTCAGGAATAGTTTCTATTTCTCTTTTTCCTGAGAATGGATCTTACTGTTTAGTTTAATTGGACCCCTCATTTTTATTTTGAATACTATCATGTGGTAACTTTGGAAATCACATTTTCTAAACTATTTTTGTATAAACTGTATTCTGTATTGTGCGTAATCACAGAAATCTCTATTTTGTTAGCCCAGTTGTCAACTCATGATTTGACAGATATTTCCTTAAACATCTTTAGTCAAAAAAGAGGTGTGAACATAGGGCATTCTCAGGGGCTTTGTGAGCATGTGCTACATACTGGGGTCATGGAGGAGGGTATACACACTTCCAGGGATATGGAAGCTTTTCAAAACCCACATTCCCCATATTCCCCACCTCACTCACCCAGTTTTCCCTCCAGGCTTTTCTGTATGTCTATGACTTTCCTCATATAATAATTTTTGCCCCAACTGGGCAGCTGCTGGTTCACTGACATTTAAATGTTTTTATCAGGTGCCCTCTGCCTCTCTAAACTAAGGGAGTTATCAGTAGGGAAAATAAATGCAAAAGATCTACTTTTTTTTTTTTTTTTTTTTTTTTGGCAAGGTCTTGGTGTGAGGCCCAAGATGGAGTGCAGTGGCACGATCCTGGCTCTCTATAGCCTCAACCTCCTGGGCTTAAGCCATCCTCCCATCTCAGCCTCTTGAGTAGCTGAGACTACAGGCATGTGCCACCATACCCAGCTAATTTCTGTATTTTTTGTAGAGATGGGGTTTCACCATGTTGCCCAGGCTGGTGTCAAACTCCTGAGCTCAAGAAATACACACAGCTCAGCTTTCCAAAGTGCTGTGATTATAGATGTGAGTCACTATGCCCAGCCTACTGTAAGCCATTTCTTATCCTCCTTCATAGAGTCACCCAACAGGAAAAGACACACAATCATAATACTTTGAGAACATGGTTCACTTGGCTCCCTATGGCATAGGAACCCACTCTGGGTTCCCAGGCTGCTGTCTTCAAGATCACTGCAGACTTGGAGAGGGAGGAGTGAGTCAAGGGTAAGATATGGTGCCACAAAGCTCTGCTCCTGTGTTCCAGTACATTTTTCTGGACTTTCTAAGTTGCTATAAATCTTTGATGATTTTTCGGGGTTCCATTGCAGTTGATTCTTTATCAACTCAATCAGAATATCTAATGGTGAGTCCAGGAATCTGTGTTTTAACAGCTCTCCAAGAGAATTCTTTTATACAGATGTTTTACAAGCACATTGTCTCTGTGCAGGGCTGGCCTTTGGAGTTCTTATGCCACCATGTTCACTGATTTCAGTCCTCAGCCACTTTTGAACAGTGCATATGCAACACAATTTCTGCTAAGTACTTTCACAAAACTCATCCATATGGTAAACATTTATCAATTCTGGGTACTGTGCCTTGTGAAATTGAGTCTATGGAACTGAGTCTCAAGAAAAAGAATCAAACTTCCTTGGACTTCATAGAAGTCAAGAGTGAGGGTGCAAGGATAAATAAAGAAATTATAACACAACATGTTATGTATTTGACATGACCTTTTTCTTTGAAAGCCACATTATTAATATTTTATAATGACAGTACTGAGTTATATGTACCAATGACTACAAATTAAAATTTCTGTTCTCTTTCTCTTTCATTCTTTTATATTTCTCCATTCTTGTAGATATATTTAGATGGCTATTTTGGAGAGTGCAAACATTTCATTTATACAATAATGTTTTGTTTTACCTTTATTCATGAAAGAGAGATTTGCCAGCCTCAAGTTTTTAGTTTGACATTGGTTTTCTGTCAGATCTTTGATGATGATCTACCTTCTGGCTGCTGTGGCTGAGAGGGAAAAGTCAGTTACATTTTAACCTGGTTGTTTCTTAGATGATCTGTGTTTCTTCTGTGGCTACTTCAAAGATCTCTGCTTCTCTTTAACATGTGAAGTTCCAGTACAGTATGAGTAAATGTGGATCTCTTTTTATTCACAGTATTATGACACATTTGCTTAATGTCTTAAAATAACCTCTTTCTGGAATGCCTCTTTCCATTTACTCATTTCTCATCTTCTAGGAATTGAATTAGACTAATGTTAAACCTCATTTAGCCACCACATACACTGTGGAGCCCAAAATAATGGTCTCACAAATATGGCCAAGCCCTAAGACCCAGATCATTTAGACATGTTACTTTACACAGCAAAAGGGACTTTGCTGATATGATTAAGAGCATGGACTTCAGATGGAGAGATTATTTTGGATTACATGAGTGGCCCAGTGTGATTGCATAATTTCTTTAAAGTGGGGATGACTAAAGAAATATGGGTCAGATGGAGTGCTAAATTTCATCTAGAATAATTTCTTACACTAGTAAAATAACATCATCTCTATTTTTTATTCTTTAATTAAGCAGTAAAATGTATTAAAAGGTTTAAAATTTAAATATCTTTGCATTCTTGGGATATATATCTTGGCCAAGACAGTCTGTTTATAACACACTGGTTAATATTGTCTAGTAATATTTTTCTTAGAATTTCTTAGAATTTCACATCTAATTAATTAAAAGTAATTTTCCCATAATACCTTTTTCCTTCTTTGTTCCCCAACTAGTTTTGTGATCAATGTTACTCCTGCCTAATAAAGTGAATGTGTTGGCTTTCTCTATATTTCCCTATGCATCTTAAATATTTTATATAAGATCAGTATATACTTGATATAAGTTCTTTGAAGGTTTGGTAGAACTTACTTGTAAAACTGGATATGGTTAAAGGGAAATAGAATTTCCACAATGGTTTTAATTTCTTTACTTGTAAAAAGTTCATTGACATAATTTTTTCATAGTTTCAAAACTGTGTAAATCTCTACTATATCTGCAGAGGCACCTTTATCTGTCATAACACTTTTATTCAGAGTGAATATTGCCTGTTTTATGTCTGTGCTCAAACAAACATCTGATTTAGCTGACTGTGCCCTCAGCAGTGGCAGCTGCCAGGTCAGCCTTGGTGAATGGTGACTCAATTGCTGTGCCCATGCAGTGTCCATCCCAGCTACCATGGAGGCTTTGTGCAGGAAGTCCATTAGCAAGCCCTGTGTGGCTAAGTAGCAACAACCATCAAGCCATCCTGCCCACCTGGTTACAAGGAACCCCATCCTCTGAGAGACCCACTGGTGGGCATTCACATGGAAGCTCTATCTTCACATGCTCTGCCCATGGCAAGAAGACTCTGTGTTCCTCTCTCCTCCACCCTGCAGTTTTCCAACTTCATTTTCCGCAAGTTCCAGACTGACCAACAAAGCCATGATCCACTGTCCATGTTTCATTCATTCACGCACTGCTGGGACATCATGTCACACCCCCACCTCCCATGGGCCTGTTTGGGTCTTGACTCCTAGTTCCTGGCTCAAAAGCCATTTCCAAAGGTGTTCTGATGTCAGCTCCCAAGCCAACTGCTCTTGTTGTAGATTCTCCTCTTTAGATCTGAGTCATAGGCATTTATTTCCTGGTTTTTTAATAATTGCACTGGTTTTTTAAGTGAAGACTTTCTAAGGACTGTCAGCAAGAGATTCTATATTAGTTTAGAGAGAATTGTTTCAAAACACCAGAAATGTATAGTTGAATGAAGGACAACATGCATGGAGAAAGGTGGACAAACCACAAATTGGCCATGGGTTTTCACAAAGTGAACACTCAGGTAAACAGCACCCACATCAAGGAACAGCATTGCCAGCCTCCAGGAAGCATCCTAGGGTTCTGCTTGGTCACAAATCACTCTCTCTGACCCTAGAGCAGACACTGTCTTGATTTCTAATAGCATAAATGAGATGAGTCAGTTCTGGATACAGTAACTCTTATGTCCCACGTCTTGCTGTGTGTGGTCATAACCTGTACACTCCCATAGCTGTCAGGTGCTCCACTTTATAAATAGCTCACATTTCCTGTCTCTTCACTATTGATAGACATTTGTGTTACATCCAGATTTCTTCAAATTATGCTGCGATGAATAATACTTTCATATCTTTGGGCACACCAATGCATGCATTTATATGTATATATATCCAAGAGTGCAATTGCTG